GGCTGTGAATAGTCTCGCAGAATGCTTCTTTCGCCATCTGGAGATTCACGTCACCTGACTTTGCCCAGGAATCAGCCTTGCCTCTCAAAACTTGTTTTCTCCTTGTGCGCTTCTTGATATGCGAGTTGAAGGTCCTTTAGGTTAATGCCATCTCTCGAATGCAGTCTTCTTCATGGCGAAAGCCAGGCGTATCTCTTGCTCATCAGAAAATTCGTTTCTGATCTCTAGGCGGCAAGACGACCCATTTGTAACCGCAGCAATCAGCGGCAGTCTCAAGTAGACTTCCTACAACCCTTCCACTCAGTTCTACGTCAGCAGTCATCGCTACGTGTTCAAAGCGTCGTGCAATATTTTCTATAAATTCAATCATATCCGCGGAAGATAATGTTCTCCGTTCGATTCTCTGGTTCTTCTACAATTACGCTGTCTCCCGGTAATCAATCTCTCACAACATTGCGTGCCAACAATAAGGCAGTGATTGAGTGACAATTTTAAGCCTTTTTTAACACTAAAATCCATTACAATTTAATTATCAAATGGATCACTGAGTTCTGTACACAAGCTTCCTTCTATCAGGTATATGGACGCACGTTTCGATGCTCGAAGAACGTATTTATAACAGACAGTTTATTGTTAAGACAAAGCCGCAACAACTGCATGCCGTTAATGTTCAGATCATTAGGACCATTCTTTCGAATCGTGCCATTTAATTTTTCAGTGTCTACTCCGACATGAACCTTCAAAGATGAGTTTGGGCTGTTACTTCCTAGAGTTCTAAAAAAAATTTTGACATAAACACGTGAAGAACGCCGAAAACATGGTAACGGTGAACGTCTGCTGTTTCGTCGGAAATGTCGTTTTCCAGTAAGCCGAAAATAAGTATGTGCGAAAATTAAAATCTGAAAATACCTCGAAAATAAAACTTTATTCGTTAAACGTAAAAACCTTTAGAACTGAAAAAACAAAAGAAAAATTTAATCAACTTAAAAGAATTTACCTGCAGAAATGACACTAAAATTAGTATTTTTTTTATAAATAACGGCAACCATACTCATTTTGCAGGTTAAAGAAAATACGAAGAAAATAAAACTACGGGAAGTTTGGACAAAATTCTTTCAAAGATCACATGTTATAAAGCAATAATTTTAGCTACAGCTGGATTGCTCTGAAGATGGAAACAACCGACGAGCCGGCGCTACTCAGAATATGAGAGAGAGTTGAAGGTGAATTCACAGAAGGCAGCCATTCTGGAATGTACTCGTCCACCGCTTCCCAATCATCCTGAGTGAGCTTCACTTTTGCTTCACCTGTACATTGCTGTAACGGAAGGAGGGAAGATTGCAGAAGAGCTGAATCAAATTCTTTCAGCGCACTGCAACCAATTATGGACCTCCTTTTGAAACCAAGCAGAGGAATGTTTTCGAAGAGCAAGAGTAAATTAAAAAAAGGACGAGAAAAGTCTACATAATCTGAAGGAAGACCTTGGCTAAGCGACAGCACAGTGACGTCGCAATTCAGCCTAATAACGGCTGTCTCGAACTCTTGCTTACTCAGGCGATCGATACAGAAATCGTCGCAGGCGACAGAGAATGGCAGAGTCAAGTCCAGAATGCGACTCAACAATAAAGTCAAGTGTGCAGCAAACGCTAATGAAGGGCAAGATCCAAGAGCTACCTTGTTGATGCCAAACAGATTGTCAATCACGGATGGTAACTCGCTACTTCGTGAGAACAGGAACTCCTTTAGAAGACTGTAGTCACTGAAATCAGGCACAA